AAAGAAAAAAGGACATCAAAATAAAAAAAATTAAATATGTAATTTAAAAAAATGTTAAAACATCCAAGAAACCTTTTTTCAACTTTACCAAGGACGTACCTATCGGACGTACTCTTTGTCTATCCCGTATCCATTGAGGCACAGGGAGCCCAATTTAGATTAAAGTGAATGGTGAAAACAAAATCGGAAAAATTAAATAATTAATTTTTTTAAAAATTCGAGATCAAGATAATGTCCTCTGTAATGCGAAAGAGTAAAAAAATACTCTGACAGAATATATATACATAAGATCAACATCAGATACCATAGGATTATATAGGAAAATAAAGGCGCGCGCAAAAAAAAATGTCAAAAATKTCAATAAAATCATTGAAACGTGAAATAAAGCCTCGACATTTTACCCGATCATTGAGAAATAGCACTTCTTTCGCTCTGCGTGGTTATTTTTTGAATTTAGCCCGTTTTAAGATTTTTTTCCCCACCAGTAAGAAATTATTTCTCAATGATCGGGTAAAATTTCGAGGCCTTATTTCACGTTTCAATGATTTTATTGAAATTTTTGATGAATCTCCATACATTTCCTTATAGCAGGACACCACAGAAACCAAGCTTGGTCTACCTGTGACGTAACTCATAGATTCTTCGTTTGCGCGTTACGTCATCGCGGCCATGTTGGTACCATTTAACAAAAAATTTCTCATTAGCATCCATTGTTAACGCCCGGGGGGGTGGGGGGGGGGGGCGGGTGTTAACGCTACCACAATGGCCGCCATTGTGCAACCCATCAATCCCCTCAACTCTTCATAGCTATGAAACGACTAGCGTTTTTCTTTATAAGACGAAATAGACGCCATATCGGACTGTTCTCCTTAAAACAGTTCTTTTTTCTTCAACCTCTAATAGCTAATGCCAAGCTTTGGAAAAAACATGATTGACAACTACAGGATCGAGTGTCTACAGGATCTTCGAGGGACTTGAACTGAGTTTGCAAAAGAAACGGGGGCCCTGTGGTTTTAGCATGTTATTTCGATATGGCTGAAAAGGTAAGGGGTGTTGACAGCTTTTTCTATAAACTTGAATATTTTCTAGGTTATTATCATGTGAATGTAGATCCTTTGATCCTTTGCAGAGTTTCTTTATACGTTTTCCTTGTAGGATTGTGTTTATTGTTAACTCTATCTTAGGTAACACAAGTTTGGTCAGTAGTTTTTTGCCCCATATCCTGATATCATAAGGATCCAACTCTACCTTAATTGTTCCTCTGTACACTCCAGTCGTGTCGTATTTACAGCCAGGCAGATAGTTTAAGCTGTTTAAAAAGTGCTGGCTAAATTTGAAAGCTTTTTTGTAAAAAGGTAGGTTATATTTTGGAAGTGAAATTAGAGCTCTCATGCACGCAAGCGGAAGTAACTTCGAGTACGGGAATAGGCCCTTTGCAGCTAAGCAATCACGTGCTGATTAATTCACTGAGAGCAAATGAATGAACATTTTGATTCCCATGGGTGAAATTTACTGGACTGCAAACAAACTTTCTATAACCTGTTTCGAGAGATCGTAATAAAACTGCATTTCGTAACACACTGGATACACATGTTTTCATTTAGTTCTTTACAAGTAGCTAAAAAGAATCACCAATTTAATATAAAAACAAAAATTTTGCAGTCCAGTACAGACACGTGATCGTTAACTGCAAAGGGCCTATTGTCCCATGGCACGGTAATTCTATTCAAATGCGATAGGCAAATTAATTATGCTAGTAGTCGTGTCCTACGATATTATGTATAGTTTAATAAATGAGCTGGAGTGTTTGATCAGGCTTAAAACCACGAGGCATAGCCTAGTGGTCTTAAACCTGATAAGACATGATCTGCCAGTTTATTATTGAACGACTTCAAAAATGCATGAATAATTAATGAGCATTTAGGTTGGTCCTTTATAAAGATTTCAAAATATTTATATAAAGATATCCATGTTGAACTTAAAATCAGGTATACAGAAAAGATCCATGGACGTGATGGATTTGAAGGACCTGATAGATAGGTCTAAATGCTCACTAATTATATTCATGAATTTTAGAAATTATAATAAAATATCTTAATGCATACGCCAATGAAGCATCATTTTAAATATGACAAACATTGGAGAGCAGCCAAGCGAATACTTCGTATTGGCATAGCCTCGTGGTTTTAAACCTGATAAGACACAATCTGTCAGTTTATTGAACGACTTCAAAAAACATGAATAATTAATGAGCATTTAGGGTCCTTATTATTCGTGCCATTCTCTTGTATTCCTTTGGTCCTTTATAAAGATTTCAAAATCTTTATATAAAGATATCCATGTTGAACTTAATATCAGGTATACAGAAAAGATCCATGCATGTGATGGATTTGAAGGACCTGATAGACTGGTCTTAATGCTCATTAATTATATTCATGAATTTTAGATACTATAATAAAATATTTCAATGCATACGCCAATGAAGCATCATTTTAAATATGACAAACATTGGAGAGCAGCCAAGCAAACACTTCATGGCTGAGTGGCCATGGTTAAGGTTAGGGTTGGGATATACATTGTAAAATATGCATATATTGAATTTTTACCATTGAAATTTATTTTCCTAAGTAAGTTAAGGAAAACCAAAAGGAAAGCATCCCCATAATACTTTGCGTCTTTTGGGGGTAACCAGAGGGTAAAAACCCACTTGTTTTGCTGAAGGCTGATCAGACAATGTTGACAATACCTTGTTTGGTATCCAAAAACAGAAAAAAATAGAAGCTTGAAGACGTTTAAGGTAAATTTTAAACACTTTTTTGTAAGTCAATACATTTTCTCATAGTTAACTATGATTTTCTGTGAGACCAAAACTCTTGATGATCTGCACATGCAAAAATAACTTGGAATAAACTGATAATCAGTATTGTATAGATAAAAGCAGGTATAGTATAAATTCAATTAAGAAACCTTTCAATTTGGGACAGTTTTTTGATTGGAATTACCCCCCAAAAATGCAAGGCAGTATGGGGATGTGAAAGGATGTGAGTTTGTAAAATAAATGGGGACCCTGTGGTTTTAGCATGTGATTTCGATATGGCTGAAAAGGTAAGA